CTGGAAGGGTGTTTGGTCTAATTAGCAGATTACAGTCTTATACTATAGATATATATCAATCAACCCATATGTAGTATTAGTTCATCTTTTGGATTTATATACAGGTATATTTTATGTAACATTCCCAAACTTTTTGTTTATATTATCATAAATTTTAAAATCTATCTACTTTGAGACAAATAATTCTTTCTTGATTTTAACTACCCTGTAATATTTATTCATATAAGTATTTCAGAACTATTTATGTATTCCTTTACTGGTGAATATTTACCATATTTTGTTCATTTTATTTATTTATTATTTTATTATATATATATATACATACATATATATATATATATATATATATATATATATATATATATATTACTTCAGAGAGGACAGAAGAGAGATAGGTAGAAACATAAATGATGAGAATCATTGATCGACTGACTCCTGCACACCTCACACTGAGAATTGAGCCTGCAACCCCAGCATATAACTAGGTTTCAGAGCAGACTGTAACTTACTGGTTCATTGGTTGATGCTCAACCACTGAGCAACACTAGCCAGGCATATTTTGTTGATTTTTAAATGTTCAATATGACACATTTAAAATCATTAGAAATCCAAATACAATGCTAATAATAATGCACATGGCCTTCATCTACTCTGTGTAAGATAAAGGTCTGCAAACTTCTGTGTAAAGGGTTTGGTAGTAAATGGTTTGGGCTCTGTAGACAATACCATCTCTGTTATAATTATTCAACTCTGCCATTGGAATATGAAAGTAGCCAAAGACAATATGTAAATGAATGTACATGTCTGCCTTCCAGTCAAACATTACTTATGGACACCAAAATGTTAATTTCATATTATGTTTATGTATCAGAAATATTGTTTTCCAACTTTTAAAAAATGAATAAAAATTATTCTTATTTCATGGAACATATATAAACAGACAATAGGCCAGATTTCACCCAGGGAATATAACTTGCTGACAGCTGGTATATAGATAATATAATGACATACCCCCCTTTATCACATCTACAAAAAATTATTTCCTTCTTTAATACAAACATTTAATAAGTAAAAATTTAAAAGCTCAGATGCTCTACATGATGATGAGCAAACCAGTGACCTAATGAAAAGTTCTGGCTCTCAACACTGACTTGGCCAAAATGCAGAAGTGTCCTGTGTTGAAGTTATTCTGCAGGGACAGACTGTCAGAAAGCAATTCTGGGTGGGTGAGTTAACCCACACTGCTGAGCAAAGGAGGCCTGGCAGCAAGGAGCCAGGGTGGCCTCCTGGTACTGCGCAGAGGCCCCACCAGGTGGCGCTGCAGCTGCAGATCTGGCCACAGGCTCTCTCATGGGTGAGGGGGACAAGAGTGGGGGGGCCGCGAGTCAGAGTCACAGGACCCGCTGGGCTTCCTGGCTCGCGCTGCTGCCTCGCCCGGATCTGCCAGGGTCCCGCGGGCGGAGGAGCCGTTGGAGTCCGAGGGTAGCTGGTGTGGATGCCGCCCCTGCTGACAGACCAAGTGCATCTGCCTGGGGTCCAGGCCAGCTTCCTGCAGGCGCTCCTCTTCCTCCTGTGTGCTGGACCCGCTTGCTAATCTGAGGGGGAAGCTGGAGCTGAAGCTGGTGAGGGGCAGTGCTGGGCCAGACTCCTTCCTCAGTGTCGCTAGGTGAGTGCCCTCCCTCTCACCTGCCCAGACCCTCCGGCCAAAAACTCTGTGAACCCCCCAACCCCCACTCAGCACAACTGGGTGTTGGTTCCAGCCTGTCTGGCACCTCCCAGGGGCCCAGAGTTGGAGTGTCCCACGTGGTGGTGGCTGTTTAATAGTATCGACCAAAATGTTTTAGGATAAGTTTTATAGGGATTTTGTACTTTTGAAACGAGTAGTAGTATAAAAATGTGTTTACATTTTTGTGAAGTGTTTCTACCAGAAAGGTTAGTCCAAGGAAAGGTTTATTATTGCTGAGATATTTAGGAAGGTTGTAGAAATCTGAACCTACAATCATTGATTTTCTAATTTTACCCTCATTCTACAGACGTAGCTAGGAGACCCAGAAAGGGAAGTGAAATCTCTAAGACCACAAAGGGAATCCGGAGCAGAGATCAAATGAGAACCCAGGGCTAGTGCTCCTTCCACTTTGCCTGTTGGCCTGTGTAGAGCCAGCTGAGGTCAGAGCCATAGAGCTGTGACCTAGGAGCTCTTAATCCTTTAAAAATCTTTTGTTTATAAATATGCTCCTCTTATGATCTATATAGCATTATTCAACTATTTTGCAGTAAGAATAGCAAAAACCGTTTTAAAAAGAAAATTTGCTGTGGCTCATGTCTGAAGTTTATCAAGTCTGAGCCTTTATGAAGACATCAGCCTTGCAATGCGGAATTCTTCAAATGCAGCCTGAGCTGTGGACCTGAGGCACCCTGCCCAGGAGCCTCTTTTCATAGTTCCTGCTTTGCCCCCAGCCCTACCCCTCCCCAGCCCTGCCCCTCCCCAGCCCTGCACTGCCCCCAGCCCTACCCCACCTCCAGCCCTACCTCACCTCCAGCTCTGCACTGCCCCCAGCCCTACCCCACCCACAACCCTGCCCCATTATTTTTTCCAAACAGACCCAGCATCTCCAAAGAGCAGTGTTCTCATTCAGGAACTGGTAGAGTGCAAGAATGCTTTTCAAAGGGTATTTCACAACCCAAAGCACTTTTTTTAAGTTTCTCAAAGATAAGTGGAATGTCACTAAACATGGATACAAAATGCATCTACACTAAAAAGAGTTCCTTAAATGTTTTTAAATTTTTTTCCTCATTATAAAAATAATACAGGATCTTGGGTAGAAATTTAAAAAGAATAGTATAAAGTAAAAGAAACAACATATTTCCACAATCCAAGGTTAACCATTGTGAACATTTCAAATTATTTCCTTTGGTCTTTTGTAAATTTATATATTAAAATACCATTTTGAGGTGATATTATTTATTTATTTATTTATTTATTTTAATATATTTGTATTGACTTCAGAGATGAAGAGGGAAAGAGAGATAATAATATGGATGAGCCGAAACCGGTTTGGCTCAATGGATAGAGCTTAGACTTGTGAACTGAAAGGTCCCAGGTTCGATTCCAGTCAAGGGCATGTACTTGGTTGCGGGCACATCTGCAGTAGGGGTTATGCAAGAGGCAGCAGATCGATGATTCTCTCTCATGGATGTTTTTAACTCTATCCCTCTCTGTAAAAAAATCAATAAAATATATTTAAAAAACTAATAATATGGGTGAGAAAGAATCATTGATCAGCTTCATCCTAAAAGCCCCCTACTGGGGTTGGACCCACAGCCAGGGCTTGTGCCCTGAAGGGGATCAATGCTCAATACTGAGCATGCCTCCAGGGCAAGATGATACTATTTATTACCTGTGTATCCTGATTTGTTTCTTTTAGTTATGGTGTATGCATTCCACTACATCTATAACCATTTTTTCCATTTAGTAAGGCACTGTTTATTTTTCCCAGCTTTATTGAAAAATAATTGATATGCAGTATACAAGTATAAGGCAGAGAGCACAATGGTATGATTTACACACACTGTGAAATGATGACCACATTGGGTTCAGCTAATATCTATCAAAGATGTGACAAACCAACATTGAAATCTCTAATGTAATTTGACTTAGTTTTTTCTTCAAAGGCAAACCTACAATTCTTAATGTTGCAAAAATGTTGTGCTATTGGCAAAAATGAGCTTGTGCTTGGAATTAAAGCGCAGGGTGTGGTGGGTCTGCAGGCTGGGGCTCTACAGCCCTGGCCTCTTGCCCTTGACCTCTGCCTTTTCACATGCGGTTCCTTTCTCCTTCAAGACTTCACATGTGGCTGGGCATGGATGTGCTGCCCCTGCTGGGCGGGCTCCACAGTCTGTCTTCCCACCACTGGGTGGCAGAGGTGAGAGCCCACTGTGTCAGGCTGTGGAGCATATGAAGCATACACCTCAGCAGCTCTGGGGGTGACCTCAGCACCACCATGTGCAGAGCCTGTGCTGGCCTCTGGGGTGTGCTCTGTGCAGGCCCTGCTCACCCACAGCTCCTCTCCCGCTAATTATCAGCCACCTTCCTGGTCCTTCTGCTAGAAGCTCTGGTTCTCTCAGAACTTAGACTCCTCACCCCCCATGAGCTGTGTTGAAGCTTCATATAACAGGATGCTTTTCAGGGAAAACTGGCAAGAGAAAAGAAAAAACAAACAAACATTAGCAGGATTTCCCCCAATACTTTAGAGTCCAGGGCCCCGTTTTCCCATGTCCTAACCAGAGATGGTTTATTTCTCAGTATTTGAGAGGCTAATGCCCAGGCCATGGCTTTAGAGCCAGGCCAGGAGAGAAGAGGGAAGGGTCCAGGGCAGCACCCACTGTGGCTCCCACAGGCCCCTGGCCCAGTCCCCTCTGAGTCATTTTTGTCCAGCTCACAGAGCAGTGCTAAGACTCACTGCCTTCAAGACGAATCAGCTCACCACTGCGCTGGTCACTTGCCAGGTTCTCACTTCTATCCCTGTCTCCCCACTGCTATTTCTCTCTGAGTCCAAGTTACTCTTCTGTCCTGAAACCGTATTGTCATCATCGGGTGGACAGCTGGCCATTGACCTGCTCCATGTCTGTGGCTCCAGAATGATGTGTTCTCTTCATTTGAGAAGAAGAAATGGAAGGAAGACAAAGGGTTTGGACAGCAAGTAGAAATACCTGGGGAGGGGTTTCTTTTCTCTAAGTACTTTGAAATGCCATGTGGATTGGCATGAGGTACTTTTATTTTATTGTTCTCTCTGGGTGTTCTTCCTGAAGGAGGTGACTGCATTGTCTGGCTGCTCAGGTACAGAAACAAGTTGCAAGGTGTTTGTGGTGTTCTGCGTTTCTGAGCCTCTCTCACCATGGGAGACAGGGCTGGCCAGAGGCAAGGACAGCCATGAGTGGCTGTTCCCAGGGCTTCCTGACAGCACTCCTCTGTCCGACCTCTACCCTGTGGTCTGTGCTCATTGCCAGCTGAATCCACAGGCCAGAGGAGGCTGGAGCCCGAGTCACTGTGTGGAGAGGACAAGCTTTGGTGGCTCCCTGGCCCACGTCACGGTACACAGGAGCAAGATTTTACTGGGTTCAGACACTGAAATATCCTTCATGACAGCCCACATTATTGCCCTAATGTCTCAGTCTTTGATGAACAAGTAGACTCTCCCTGACTGGACCACAAAGTAAAGTGTCAGACCTTTGATGAGCGATGCTCTGTCTCTCATCTTTGGTTAACCCCCTAAAAATGGGGATGTGTTGATTTCACTCACCAGCATTACTTTTTTTCATCTTCCAGTAAAGTTGACAGAGAAATTGGAGCCATCTCTGGAAGGAGAGAGCATATGAAGACAAGGTATTATTATTTTTACCTTAATTTGAGCACCATCTGCCCAGTACACACAGAAAAATTGTTTACCCTCCCTGACCTTTCACAGAGCATATGTGTCGTTTCTGCAGTTGCAATCTGTAGATGATTAAAAAGCATGTTCTTCCAATGACAACACTGCCTTCCTTCATCCTTGTCCTTGGGGAGCGTCTCTCAACCCAACCAAGACACCGAGAAGTGAATCTGCTCTGTGGACAGGACCCTGGCCCAGCGTTCCTGGAATGGCACAACACGCCCATCCTTGTCACTTGGGGGATGTGGTTAATGAAGCAGAAGGTCACTGTGGGAGGACTGTGCTGCCCATGTTGTGTTTGTGAGAAGGTTAAAGGGTTTGGAAGCTCCTTTAAGAAACCATGTGGTACCGTGAAGGAGCTGTTCCCACTAGTGATCACATAAGGAGTGGCTGAGACACAGCAGCTTATTAAAGGCTGAGGAAAGCCTGTGATGGTATGAGAACGTAGCTGTGGAGGTCACTGGTCTGGTGGTTGACTCACAACCCCACTGACTCCCAGTTCCCTCAACAATTCTTTATACTCAGCCCTGGCCCCAGCTGGACTTTCTGGGCCCGAATCTCTGAGACAAGAAAACCAAATCTTGGTCACCCCTTTTATCCTTTAACCTTTAAAAAAAAATGTAATTGTGGATTCACATTATTTGTAAGAGATAGTGCAGATGTGGCCCAGCTAATCTAATCCTGTTTTCCTCAATAATATCTTATAAAAAGCTCACAACCAGGTAATTGGCTGTGACCCAACCACCCAGTAAGGACAAGCTTCCTGATTCCCTTTGTGCACATTTTCTCGTGTGAGTGTCGAGTCCTGTGCTCTTTTATCACGTGCATTCGCCATGCTGTCCAGATAAGGAACAGCTCTCTACCAGATTCCCAGCACCGAGGAAACTGCCTTCTATTCTTGTTTTTGTTGGTACATTTTTATCACAGAAAAATATACACAATGAAATTTAACAGTTTAACTGTTTTTCAGTGTGCAGTTCAGTGGTGTTAAGTACATTCATATTGTGGTGCTGCTGTAACCACAATCATGTCCATCACTGTTCTCATCTTCTCCAACTGCAGCTCTGGCCCCACTAAACAACAACACTGCATCCATCCCACCTCTGGTCCCCTCCACCTTACCTGTCTCTATGACTGACAGATCCAGGGACCTCATGTGAGCGGGGTCACACAATATTTGTCTGTGTGACTGGCTTCTTTCACTGAGTCATGTCTTCAGGGTGCATCCAGGTTGTAGCATGTGTCACATGTGCTATTTTTCTAAATTGAATTTATTGGGGAGAGATTGGTAATAACATTATATAGCTTTCAGATAAACAGTACTATAATACATCATCTGTATCTTGAACTGTGTGTCTCACTGCTCTTGCCCCTCCCCCCAAGTCAGGTCTCCTTCCATCACAATTTATCCTTTCTAAACCCTCTTCTATACACACCCCTTTTTCTCTGAGAATCACCAAACTGCTGTCTGTGTCTTTGAATTCTTTTCTATGCTTAACACCTTCACCTTTTTCACCTAGTCCCCCAACTTCCCTCTCCTCTGACAACTGTCAGTCTGTTCTCTATATCGATGATCCTGTTTCTATTTTGATGTAGTTTAATTTGTTCATTAGATTCCACATATAAGTGAAGCCATAAAGAACTTGTATTTCTATGACTGGCTTACTTCCCATCACTGAGCATAATACTCACCAGCTCTATCCGTGCTGTTGCAAAAGGAAAGATTTCCTTTCTGGGTGTGTGGGTGAGTAGTATTCCGTTGTGTATGATGTACTCCGCTTATCTGCTGCTGGGCACTTGGGCTGCTGTGAAATCTTCGCTATTGTAAATAATGCTGCAATGAACAAAGACGTGCATATATCCTTTCAGATCAGTGCTTTCAGATTTCTGCAGATATATTCTCAGAAGGGAAAATGCTAGGTCATTTTGATTTTTAATTGTTGAGGAAACTTCATACTGCTTTCCACCTTCATGCTGCTTTCCACAGTGGTTGCACCAATCTGCATTCCCACGTGGATTCATTTTTCTCCACATCCTCACCAGCACTTGATGTTTATTGACTTATTGATGATAGCCATTCTGACAGATGTGAGGTGATTCCTCACTGTGATGTTCATTTCTATTTCTGTGATTCTCAGCATCTTTTTATTTGTGATGTAATGGTCATCTGCAGGTCCTCATTGCATAAGTATCTATTTAGGTACTTTGCCCATTTATAAATTGGATTGTTTAATTTTTATAATGTTGAGTTTTGTAAGTTCTTTCTAAATTTTGGATATTAAGCCAGCCGTTACCAGGTAGCTGTATCATTAGAAAATATGTTCTCCCATTCAGTGGGTTGTCTTTTCATTTTGTTGATGTTTCCTTTGCTATGCTAAACATTTGTTTGATGTAGTCCCATTTGTGTAGTTTTTCTTTTGCTTCCCTTGTCCAAATAGATATATCAGAATAAAAAATATTGCTATGAGTATTGGCTTTATTTTCTTCTAGAATTTTTATGGTTCAATTTTTACATTCAAGTCTTTAATCCATTCCGACTCTACTCTTCTGTAAGGCGTAAGAAGGTAGTCTGCTTCCATTTATTTTTGTACATATCTTTCCAATTTTCCCAATAACATTTATTGAATGGACTATCTTTAGTCCATTGTATGTTCTTGTGTCCTCTGTCAAATATTGAACATAAATGCATTGGTTTATTTTTTTTTTATTCTTTCCAGTGACCTATATGTGTGTTTTATGCCAGTACCATGCTATATTTATTACTCTGGTCTTGTAATATAGTGTGATCTCAAGTAGCATGATTCCTCCAACTTTGTTCTTCTTTCTCAAGTGTGTGTGTTGGTGTTTTTTTTTCTCTCTCTCTCTCTCTCTTTTTTTTTGTACCTCTATACACATTTTTGTGATATTTATTGTAGCTTTCTGAAATATGCCATTGAACATTTTAATGATGTTATCTTCTTATCTGTGAACACAATATATGCTTTTATTTGTATCTTCTTTGGCTCCTTCCTCTTTCTTTCTTTCTTTCTTTCTTTCTTTCTTTCTTTCTTTCTTTCTTTCTTTCCTTCTCTTTCTATTTTTCTTTTTTCTTTTTTTATTTATTTCTTTCCTTCTCTTCCTCCCCCGCCCCTTCCATTCTTCCTTTGTTTTTGTATGTGTGAATCCTCATCATAGGATATTTTTTCCTTTGCTTTTTGAGAAAGTGTGGAAGGGAGACAGTGAGCAGAGAGGGAAGGAAGGAAGGAGGATGGAAGGAAGGAAGGAGGGAGGGAAGTGAGAGATAGAAAGAGAGAGAGAGCTAGAGCCAATGATATGAGACCCATGATTCATTGCTTCCTGCACTCACACAAATGGTGACACCAGGAATCAAAACTGTAATACAGGTATGTTCTATTGACCGGAAATGGAACCTGTGGCCATTTGGCATCTAATCATTTGGCAAAACCGATCAGGGTTTCAATTTCTTTTCTTCAGTGTCTTTTAATTTTTTGAGTACTGGTCTTCTACATTCTTAGTTAAATGTAATTTTAGGTATATATTTATTTGAATGTGCGTGAGATTTTTTCTTAGTTTCCTTTTTCAAAGGTCATTATTGGAGTGTAAAAATGCAGCTGATTTCTGGATATTTATTTTCTGTCTTGCTATGTTCTGAACTCATTTATCAGTCCTACAGTTGGGTGTATTTTTGTTTATTTTATTTTTTAATGGAATCATTTGGGTTCACTGTATACATTATGCCATCTCCAAATGATGACAGTCACACTTGTTTCTTTCCAATTCAAATGCTTTTCATTTCTTCTAATTGCAGTGGCTAGGACTTCCAGCACTATGTTGAGTCTGTATGGTGACAGCAGACATCCCTAACTTGCTCCTGATCTGAAAAAACACACTTTTACCTTTGTCCATGGAGGATGCGATAGCTTTGTCCTACATGATCTTCATCCTGTTGAGGTGTGTTCCTCTATTCACACTTTGCTGAGAGTTGTTAGAATGAATGGGTACTGGGTTTTGTTGAATTCTCTTGATGCATCTATTGTTATGTGATTTTATTCTTTATTTTGTTTATGCTGTATCATGTTCTTTATGTGCAAATACTGTACCAAGCTTACAAGCCCGGAAAAAAACCCACTTTTTAATGTGTTACTGGATCCAGTTATCCAATATTTTGTTGAGGATTTTAGCATCTGCGGTCATCAGGGATATTGGCTTATAATTTTTTTCTTTCTAATGTCTATTCTGGTTTTGGGATTAGCATAATGCTAGACTCATAAAAGGAGATTGGGAGTCTCCCCTTGTCTTGAATGTTTTGGATGAGTTTGAGGAGAACAGGTATTATTTCTTCTCTGAATGATTGATGAAATGCACTGTGATGCCATCCAGTCTAGCACCTATGTTGGAAGAGAGGTTGTTTTTTCTTTTAATCCTCATTCAGGATATTTTCCCCAATGTTTTTGTTTGTTTGTTTACCATTGGCCCATGCATGTATTGAGGCGATGCTCAGGCAATTTGGCTGTGACTACAGTGGACCCTGCCTACAGTGTATGAGCTGCTGACAGGTGTTGACCACATGGAACACAATTCACCTCAGCAGGGTCTGGTGCTTGCTTAGATGTCTCTTTGGATATGGTGCTTGTAAGGCTGGCCCCTGGAAGTGTTGGTCCTTGGGCATCCTAGGAGGGACTCTGGTGCTGACCAATGTCAGATGCTTTATGTGACTGGCCCAGGGCAATCTATTTGGATCTACAAAGCAAGTCACATTTTGTGACAGCCACTGCTGAGGCTGAGTGAGCTCAGGAAGGTCCAAGCAGGGCATCCAAGCTGGCTTTTACTAGCACTGAGCCTGGGGACAGGTCAGCAAAAGTCCCAGAACACTCTGTGGTCTGCCTCTCTGTCTGCCTCCATCTGCTGGGTACCTGTGAGCCTCAGTCAATGACAGAGCCTCTGCAAGTACTCAAGTTGCAGGAGGACGGTTCTCAGGGAGTCCCCAGGTTGAGCTGAGTGTGTTCACCAGATTGATGCAGGTTCAAGCTCAGTGTCAGTGTTGGGTCTGAGGCGACTCATCAAATGTCCCAGGGTACACCAGGTCCAGCTGCCACGCGCTGGGTCCTCACACATCTTCGAGCAGGGTACAGAAGATGCACACCTGGAATTCTTGGTAGAAGGAGAATGAAAAAGTCAAAAGAGGCTGCTTCCCAGGATTTAAGATGTCTTGGGTCTGTAATCTGAGATCAGCTGTGTGAGCCTCAGGGCTTTTCAGAGGGTCTGTGGATTCTCAAAGGCCAGAGAGTTGCTTCCTGTTGTGGATGATCCTGGATCTCCTAGGAGGAGAGCCGGAGCATGATGTGATCCTGCAGTTGTGATCCCATCATCATGTAGTAAAAAGCAGAGTCCCCTCATGCTTGGCGGATTTTAGCAGAGTCATTCCTCCATTTCCATCCCAAGAGAACTGCAGCTCTCTACACCTTCCCACCACAGGCATGCTCACTGGCTTCCAGGCAGCACTGTTCTGCCTTCTTTCCTGAAGGCTGGGTAAGCCAGGCTGGCTGGAGTGTAAGGAAGGGAGGATAGATGTCCCTTTGGTGAGTTGAAATGCTACTAGGGCCATTAAAGCTTAAATTTATTTTTTCTGTATTTGCTCCCACTCTAGACCTAAGCAGCCAAAGTTGTACTTAGCTCCCTCTCATGGAAGCACAGTTCTGCCTTGCACTAATGCCCCATGTCACCAGATCAGTGCAGAGAGCAACTGGAGGAAGAAGACAGGGCATTCCTCTCCCAGCAGTGCAACACCATCACAGGCATGATGCCGCCTGGAGAGCTACCACTGCTGGAGTGAGCACTGAAGGCTTTTAGGCACTGAGCAAAATGATCTCATATCTTTTCAAGATCACTCTGATTTGCACTTTTATTTTACTTAAAGTTGTTTTACTAATTTAATTTTTTTCAACTAAAGATAATGTTCAATATTAGTTTCAAGTATACATAATATTGGTTAGACATTCATATAACATATAAAGTGATCACCTGATAAGTCTAGCATGAAGTATTATTTAAAAGGTTATTAATCCTATTCATGAGGGCTCCAACCTCATAACCTAATCAATCTTAAAGTTACAGCTTTTATTTATTTTTAATCAAACTTATTTGGTAGACATTCATTAATAAAATTGCATAGGTTAAGTGTGCAATTTCATAATGCATCATCTATATACTATACTGTGTGCTCACTGCCTTCAAGTCTCCTTCCATCACCGTTTATCCCCCTTATGCCCACTTTTCTCTCTTTCAACCCCACACTCCGTAACCCTATCTCCCACCCCCCACATTTCACCCCCAACTGACACTCCACAACCCACACCTGCCAGCCCCCAACGCCCAGAATTACACCAAGCCCACCCCCCCATAATTATCATCCACCTCCACCCCCACCTGCCACCCTACATCCCACCCTCTACACCACCCAGTTTCAACTCTCACTCCCACCTCCCTCTAACCATCCCTGCCCCCCACTTCCCACCCCCCTTCCCCTTCCCCTGCTTGTGATTTGACATTTGAAATGATATTTGAGATGTGTCTTGAGGGCTCAGGTAGGATTCAAACAGATGAAGAGGGTGAGACTGTGCTTCAGGTACAGAGAGTGGATACTCAGCCTGGAGGCAGGAGAGATGAAGACTGGAGAGACCAGAGCATATGTCCCTCAGGTACCTGTGAGTGAGGGGTCAGGGCAGGGAAAGAGAAGACCCTCCATGGAGGGAAAAGGCAGAAGGAAAGGGAAGCAACCACAGAGCAAGGGAGAAAGGGGGCGCCATGGGAAGACAGGCAGGAGGTCAGGGGACCAGGGAAAGGAGAAGGGCTGAGGAACAAGGGCTCCACCATGGGAAAACAGGGGATTCTCCATGGAGGGGTGTTTCCCCTGTTACCTATCTCTACTTCCATGTACCCCCTTCCCTGGCCCCTCCATGGATGGTGCCCTAACTCCACTCTCCTGCTCAGACTATGTGGGGTCTTTTTTCCTTCCTGTCCTCCTACCATCATGGAGGATGCCTTCTACCCCCTGCCCTGCCATCTACTTAAGGACCTGAGCCTAAGTCCTTGCTGTCTCAAAGTAGGGCTCCCTCCTCCCCCTCCCCAGCCTCTCCTCTGCATGGAGGGTTCCCTTTGCCCCTTGCCCTGCCATCTATTTAAGGACATGAGCCTAAGTCCTCGCTGTCTCAAAGTAGGATTCCCTATCTCCCAGCCTCTCCTCTCCATGAAGGGTTCTCTGTTCCTATTCAATGCCTTGTCCCTTGCATGTAGGGTTCTGTCTCCTCCCCACCCTTCTCCCTCAAAGTGAGGTTCCCTGTCCCCCTGTCCTGCCCCATCCATGGAGGGTACCTTCTCCTCCCTGCCCCTCCCCGTCAAAGTTAGGATCCCTGTCCCCCTGCCCTCCCCCCTTCATGGGTAGTTCTGTCTCCTCTCTGTTCTGCTCTCTCTAAGTGGGTTCCCTCCTGACCTGCCCCCTGCATTGAGGGCTTACTGTCCAACTGCCCATACCTCTCCATAAAGGGTTCCTTGTTTCCATTCTCCCTGCCTGCCTGCCCCTCTAACTGGGTTTCCCTATCCTCCTTCTCTTTCCTCGGCATGGAGGGTTTCCTGCCCCCACTATCCTGTCCCTTCAAGTGGGGTTCTCTGTCCCCCAGCTCTGACTCCTCTCTGAAGGATTCCCTGTGCACACTTCCTGCTTTGAAGGTTCCCTGTCCCCCTGCCCTATTCCCTCTATGGAAGGGCCCCTCTCTTCCCTGTCCTGCCCCATCCATGGAGGGTTCCTTTCCTCCTGCCCTCACCCCTCCATAGAGGGAACCCTTTCCTTCCAGCCCCTTTCCCCTCAAAGTTAGGATCCCTGTCCCCCTGCCCTGCCCCCTGCTGTCTCCTCTCTGGCCTGCTCTCTCAAAGTGGGTTCCCTTTCCTCCTGACCTCCCCCTGCATTGAGGGTTCCAGGTCCACCTGCCCTGTCCCCTCCATAACGAGTTCCTTGTTTCCATTCTCCTCCCTGCTTGCCCCCTCTAACTGGGTTTCCCTTTCCTCCTGCCCTCCCCGCTACATGGAGGGTTCCCTGTCCCCCTGCCTTGCCCCCTCCATGGAGTGTTCCCTGTCCCCATGCCCTGCCCCCTCCCAGGAGGGTTCCCTGTCCCCCTGCCCTGTACCCTCCATGGAGATTCCCTTCTCCTCCCAGCCCAGCACCCTCCATGGAGGATCCCCTCTCCTCCCTGCCCTTCCCCTTCCATGGAAGGTCCCCTCTCCTCCCTGCCCTGCTCCCTCAATGGAGGGTTCCCATCCCTCTTCCCTGCACCTTCCATGAAGGATCCCCTCTCCTCCTGCCATGACTTCTCCATGGAGAGTCCCCTCTTCTTCCTGCCCTGCCCCCTCCATGGAGGGTCCCCTATCTCCATGCCCTCTCCATGGAGGTTTCCCATCTCCCTGGCCTTCCCCTCCATGGAGGGTCCCCTCTCCTCATTGCCCTGGCCCCTCCATGGAGAGTCCCATCTCCTCCCTGTCCTTTTCCTCCATCCCTCTACCCTGCCCCCTCCATGGAGGGTCAACTTCCATTCTCCTGCCTGCCCTGCTCCCTCAATGGAGGGTTCCCATCCCTCTACCCTGCACCTTTCATGGAGGATCCCCTCTCCTCCCTGCCATGACTCCTCCATGGAGGGTCCCCTCTTCTTCCTGCCATGGCCCCTCCATGGAGAGTCCTCTCTCCTCCCTTCTCTTTTTCCTCAACCCTCTACCCTGCCTCCTCCCTGGAGGGTCCTCTCTCCTCCCTGCCCTGCCCCTCCATGGAGGGTCCTCTCTCCTCCTTGTCCTGGATTCTCCATGGAGGTTCCCCATCTCCATGCCCCTACCCTGCACCCTCCAGGGAGGATCCCCTCTCCTCCCTGCCCTTCTCCCTCTATTGGAGGGTCCCCTCTCCTCCCTGCCAGGTGCCTTCCATGGAGGGTCCCCATTACCTCTGTCCTCCCTCCTCCATGGAGTTTCCACTCTCCTCCAAGCCCTATTCCCTCCATGGAGGGTTCCCATCACCCTACCCTGTCCTCTCCTTGTAGAGTTCCCATCCCTTACACTCCCCCCTCCCTGGAGGGTCCCCTTTGCTATTCTCCCTGCCCACTTCCTGGATGGTCACCTCTCCTCTGATACTCTCTTCTCCAGGGAGTGTCCCCGTACTCCTTGCCATGTCCCTTCTATGGAGGATTCTCATTCCCTACCCTTCCCCTCCATGGAGGGTCCCTCCCCCTACAATCTCCCCTCCATGGAAGGTCCCCTCTTCTCCCTACACTGGCCCCTCCATGGAGGGTTCCCATCTCCCTATCCTGCCACCTCCATGGAGGGTCCCCTCTCCTCCCTGCCCTGTCCCCTCTCCTCCCTTCCCTGTCTCTTCCATGGAGGGTCCTCTCTCCTTCCTGCCCTGTCCCCTCTCCTCCCTGCCCTATCCACTCTCCTCCCTGCCCTCACCCCTCAATGGAGGGTTCACATCCATGGAGGGTCCCCTCTCCTCCCAATCCTCACCCCTCAATGGAGGGATCCCATCCCCTTCCCTGTCCCCTCCATGGAGGGTCCCTTCTCCTCCCAGTCCTCATCTCTCTTTGGAGAGTTCCCATCCCCTATCCTGTCTCCTCCATGGAGGGTCCATTCTCCCTGCCCTCACCCCTCAATGGAGGGTTCCCATCCTTTCCCTGTCCCCTCCATGGAGATTCCCTTCTCCTCCCAGCCCAGCACCCTCCATGGAGGATCCCCTCTCCTCCCTGCCATGCTCCCTCAATGGAGGGTTCCCATCCCTCTTCCCTGCACCTTCCATGGAGGATCCCCTCTCCTCCTGCCCTGCCCCCTCCATGGAGGGTCCCCTATCTCCATGCCCTCTCCATGGAGGTTTCCCATCTCCCTGGCCTTCCCCTCCATGGAGAGTCCCCTCTCCTCCCTGCCATGACTCCTCCATGGAGGGTCCCCTCTCCTCCTTGCCCTGGCCCCTCCATGGAGAGTCCCGTCTCCTCCCTGTCCTTTTCCTCCATCCCTCTACCCTGCCCCCTCCATGGAGGGTCAACTTCCATTCTCCTGCCTGCCCTGCTCCCTCAATGGAGGGTTCCCATCCCTCTACCCTGCACCTTTCATGGAGGATCCCCTCTCCTCCTGCCATGATTCCTCCATGGAGGGTCCCCTCTTCTTCCTGCCATGGCCCCTCCATGGAGAGTCCTCTTTCCTCCCTTCTCTTTTTCCTCATCCCTCTACCCTGCCCCCTCCATGGAGGGTCCTCTCTCCTCCCTGCCCTGCCCCTCCATGGAGGGTCCTCTCTCCTCCTTGTACTGGATTCTCCATGGAGGTTCCCCATCTCCATGCCCTGCCCCCTCCATGGAGAGTTCCCATGCCCCTACCTTGCACCCTCCAGGGAGGATGCTCTCTCCTCCCTGCCCTTCTCCCTCTATTGGAGGGTCCCCTCTCCTCCCTGCCAGGTGCCTTCCATGGAGGGTCCCCATTACCTCTGTCCTCCCTCCTCCATGAAGTTTCCACTCTCCTCCAAGCCCTATTCCCTCCATGGAGGGTTCCCATCACCCTACCCTGTCCTCTCCTTGTAGGGTTCCCATCCCTTACACTCCCCCCTCCCTGGAGGGTCCCCTTTGCTATTCTCCCTGCCCACTTCCTGGATGGTCACCTCTCCTCTGATACTCTCTTCTCCAGGGAGTGTCCCCGTACTCCTTGCCATGTCCCTTCTATGGAGGATTCTCATTCCCCACCCTTCCCCTCCATGGAGGGTCCCTCCCCCTACAATCTCCCCTCCATGGAAGGTCCCCTCTTCTCCCTACCCT